CTCCATTCCTGTACTTCCTATACAATCACTCATTCCTGTGCTTCTCCATTCCTGTACTTCCTATACAATCACTCATTCCTGTGCTTCTCCATTCCTGTACTTCCTATACAATCACTCATTCCTATGCTTCTCCATTCCTGTACTTCCTATACAATCACTCATTCCTGTTCTTCTCCATTCCTATACTTCCTATACAATCACTCTTTCCTATTTTGTTCCATTTCTACACTTTCCATACAATTTACTCATTCCTATGCCACACTACTTATTCCTATTCTTCCTAAACAATTACTCATTCCTGTACTTCTTCATTGCTTTGCTTCTCCATTCTTATACTTCCTTTACAATCACTCATTCCTATATTATTCCATTCCTGTACTTCCTGTGCAATCACTCATCCCTACACTTCTCTTAGGTCGCTGACCACGAGGTGGAGTGCCATCCCAACTTCCGGGTCTACCTGCACACTACAGAGATCCCCCAGCGCATCCCCCACAGCCTAGCCGCCTACACCAGTGTCATGAACTTCTATCAGACCAGGGAAGACTGTGAGGAGGAGCTGCTGGACCGCTTCATGGCGCTGGAAAAGGCCAGGCTGGATGAGGATGGCATCGTGGCTAATAAGGTAAAGGGGGAAACCATCCCATATAGGAAAATTGGATTATCTTGTACTCTGCCATAGAAAAGCTATGGTGGGTGAGGACGGCATTGTGGCCAATAATTTAAGGGGGACCATTCTATATAGGAAAACTGCATTGTCCTATACTCTGCCATAGGAGAGCTATGGTGGGTGAGGACGGCATTGTGGCCATTAAGGTATTATGAAACCATCCTATATAGGATAATTAGATTATCCCACAGTACTCTATACCCAGGTTAGCTGAGGACAGTGTCATGGCTAATGAAGTAAGGAGAATTATCCTATACCGTACCATAGGAAGGCCCGGTTGTATTTGGATGGTATTATGGCAAGGGAAAATTCCTTTTTAGGAAAAGCAGATTGTTCCACACTATAGCATTTAGGAAGTCACTCCGTGAAACTCATTAGGATCAGGAAAGAAAGACAGGATCTAGTAGGATATTAACATGCTTAGGTAAGTGAAGGAGATTACTATCATGCTGCAGAATATGTTGAGATCAGTAGCAGCGTCTGAAAGGAATTGTTGATCAAGAGGAGATGAGATGAATCCCAAAAATTGACTGCTGGTTATTTTTCCCTTTTAATCAGGAGAAGATCTTTAACCTAAAGAGACTGAATGAGCTGGAACAGCAGATGTTGGACTGCCTGGCCTCAGACACCCGACTGTTGAACGACCTGGCCACCACCAAGAAACTGGCTGAGCTCAAGAAGCACTACGATGAAACATTAGAAAGGTTAGCCTCACAACTGACTGCAAAATCTTGAGGGCTGTGCTGACAGACTGTCCAAGTTTTTAAGTTCTCAGTTATCCAGGAGCCACGTTTTTTTAAATTCCAGAGTGCAAAATGTGTACTTTCTACTGGCTTAGTCTAGATATTCTGAAAGATGACAGATAGAATGAAAGATGGTTGGTAGAATGTTTTTGTTGGAGGTTTACTGTGTGACAGAAACAGAAAAGTTGAGGGAACACAGAGGAAGTCTGCCAATGACACTCTGGATTTGAAGAGCTTTTGTTTTTTTTCTTGGAGAGTAAGTTCATCGTGGATTTCCCCTCTTTTTTTTCAATAGCCAAGACAGAGTGCAGATGTCTGAGAAGGCCATTCACAATGCGCGGGAGGGGTATCGCTCCATCGCCAAGCGGGGTGCCGTCTGCTTTGACGCCGCTCGCTCCGTCGTCGAGATCAACCCCATGTACCAGACATCGTGGCAACAGTTCCTGGATGTGTATGACTCTTCAATCAAGCACTCGGAAAGGTGAGGTGGACAGTGATTAAAGGAGAACAATGCTGCATTGTTATGCCAAAGATGGACAAATTTTAACGAAGTAGAATATTTAATGTGGAAGTACTTTCGTATTGTCACACTCTGTCTAAAGTTTTTGACAACTTTTGATGGCGATGACAGATCAACTTTTTTCATGCATTGGGAAACTCTGTAAGCATCTTATTTACTTTCCACTTGTATCTTGCATGAGACTTCTTTTGTCCTGTTTGTTAATATACCTGTTGAAATGCATGCTTGCCTCTTTTTCATGCTTATCTTCATCCTATGCTATGGCTGTCCAGAACGTGAGTAGTAATTCCAAAGGTTGAATGACAATCAATTTCTTGCCCGTCTCTCATACTGACTTGCACCTGTCACTGCCATTGAACATTTCATCTGCCAACCGCCTGGTTGTGATAACTTGGCCGGACTGTATTCTTTCCTTAACATCCTTCTGTCCATCACAAGCACAGTGCCGTTGCACTCAGCTTTTCATCATCCATTCTTTGCAGTGTTTGCACCGGATGAAGCCGAAAATGCACCCAGTCTGTGAAATGATTTTTGAGATTGAAATAAAAAGGGTTGTATTTATTGACCCCCCCAAAAAGCTTGTAATACATGAAATTGAAACCTTTCAGTCGTAAGTGGAGAAAAGAACCAGACGCCTATGGTTGGACAAGTAGACTCTTTGGCTTGAGGTTACACCGTCTGTGAAAGCCCCTCTGATTTCTAATCAAACTTTTCAAAGAGTGTCTTTACACGCCTCCCAATTTTAATTAATATACTTTGTCATGCACTTAGCACATCCTGGGTTGTCACATAATGGGTAATTCCAGAAATTAGGGGTTCAAAAGTGTGACTTTTTGTGTGCCTGTTACATCTGACCTTTGTTATTTGACATGGAAATATCACCGGAATTGATTTCAAACTATTACTGTTTGTTTGGCAGGTAGTTTGCATTAAATCATCACTCTTGGAAATAAGAAAATGCGTTCTGAAGTTAAAAAATCGTATATCAGATGTGACAGGGACACAAAACAAAATGGACCCCAAATTTCTGGAATTACCGTTATGTTTAAACCTTGCACTATTGCTATCTTGGATAATTTTCTTTGTACTCAAAGTTAACCAAATGGGAAACAGTCCTCGTTAAAATGAAAGTCTAATGTCTATGTCCCACCATCCCCAAGCCTAGCTTTGAAGATCAGATCGGACACTTCCACTGCTTGATTGGAGACCACTCATTGAGTTTCATTAATATTTTTAACAGGGCTGCAGTGAAAGCTGTGGTGGAGCGTCTGACATATAATGCCTTCCAGGCCACTGCTAGATCACTGCTTGAGAGAGACAGGATGATCTACGCTCTCCTACTAGCCATGGAGGTGAGTAGACCAGAGTCACTTTCCTTAAGACAAAAAGTAGGCTGATTCCTTGAATCCCATTTCATTCATTTAAATTCCTGTGTTACGTTTAAACTTAGCCTACAGCAGTTGTCATGGTTGTTGGTCACATTACTGCGAAGTGCCTACTGACACATTTCCTGTTGCCAACCCGAACCTTTTTAGGTTGAGGACTCACTGGGGAACGTCGGTCCCGGCGAGCGCGAATTTGTCATCTCCCCGCAGCTGGGCTCCTCCATCATGACTGCCCTCGGCCACATGGTGGCGCCGGACCACCGCATCGCCCAGGCCAAAAAGCCATTTGATTGGATGCTGGATGAACAGTTCCACAACTTGCAGGTGTGCCGCCGCTTTCGTAAAAGTCGAGCCTGTGAGATTTTCACGAGTCCAAATATTCTTTCCCTGTTCGTTTCGAACTGAGAATGCAACAGCTGTAGCTCCTAAAAACAATCACTTAATTTTCTTCTGCTTACCTTTCATTACCTGAAGTATGTTTAAAAAGTTACATTTGAACTGGCGTCGTAAAACTTTCATGAATAATGTTCCAAAATGATAGGTGTATTCTTTGACCAGTAGACCCTTGGCCTAGAAAATTTCGCTGAGAAATTTTGCTTATTAAGCTATTTACAGTTGCACTAACCCAACTCACCAGAAATGAATGTTAATGTTGCCAGGTTTTTTTTTTCATCTTTGAAGTTGCTGGCCATCCACTACGAGTGGTTCCAGGAGATGTTTGACCGCATGCCCAAGGACGGCCGAGAGACACAGTGGCGGACCCTCGGGGAGCACGACACACCTGAGACAGCCGTCCTGCCCGAGAAGATGGACGACATCTACAATCCCATGCAGAGACTGATGGTGCTGCGGGCGTTCCGACCGGACCGCATCATGCAAGCGGGGACTGTCTTTGTCAATGCAGTGCTCGGGAAGAAGTAAGTCGCTCGTTGATCACCTGAGTTGCCATCTGTCATAAGTTCCTTCCGTTGGATTTAATTTCTCTTAGCTGTGTGTGACTTTCAACAGTGAATAACTTCCTTTTTGTTTTAGCAAATTGGAATTTAAACAAAATCTAATAAAATAGCACTTCTGATTCTTTTGTTAACACTGCCTCATGTCATTCATGTTACATGTTTCTGTCATCCATTGTCATCACCTTCAACCACACAGAATCAGAGGATCATCATCAAGGTATTAACACAATATCAGTGGATTCAACTGCTGCATTTGTGGACTTCACTGATTAATATTATCAACAGATTCCACTGCTACATT